ATAACTCAAAATCATTCAGTGAGAAAAAATAGACTCCACATGGTTAAAGAAAATGATCTATGTTTAAAATATGAGCTTTTTGTTCCCTGCATATCTGACCTCAAGGCACAGTGAGTGGTCCCTGTCCTTCAAATAAACTTTGAAGTTCTACCTAGTTAATCCTTGATCATCCAACCATTCACAGAGTTACTTAATAATAACATGAGACAAAGATAGTTAAAATTATATGAAATTATTAACTCCATACTATTTCTTATTATTTGATTTATTAAAGGAAGGACACACTGTATGATTTTAAAAATGCAATAGCAGAAAACAATTTAAATTTGATAAACACTCATGTGTAGATTGTAAGACAATATGAGGGATAAGGCACTTACCTCAGGAAATTTTCAGTATAAGCAATTATATTAGAAAAGTTTATAAAATGTTTATTTTATAAAATAAAAATAAAACATTCTGAAACGGGCTTTAAAATTATGCCATTTACCACTCCAATGAAGCTTGAAGATATAGTTCAAAGTCTAAAACCATAGACTTATGATGATCTTTTCATAGATAATGAAACTGAATTATCCTGTAAATTAATTTATATGTCAATACTGTAGAGACAATTAATAGTTAAACCATAATTCACATTAATTCTAATGCCAAAGTTAACAATCTTTCCTCTATTACACACTTCTGGCATGCTACTGATGGTGAGATCTTCCTTAATACTGGATGATTACTTAACTGACTTACTTTCTGCCTTTACAGTCTAAGAGCTATCAAGTGATATGAACATGGGGGCCATTTTTCAGAACTCTACTGACTTCATCCTCTTGGGCCTTGTCACCCATCCTTTGTTCCCTGGGCTTATCTTTGCAGTGGTCTTCTCCATCTTTGTAGTGGCTGTAACAGCCAATGTGGTCATGATTTTGCTTATTCATGTGGACTTTCGTCTCCACACACCCATGTACTTCATGCTTAGCCAACTGTCCACCATGGACACAGTCTACATCTGTATTACTGTTCCCAAGATGCTACAAGACCTTCTGTCCAAGGAAAAGACTATCTCCTTCCTGGGCTGTACAGTTCAGGTATTTCTCTACCTGACATTGCTTGGAGGGGAATTCTTCCTGCTAGGTCTCATGGCCTATGACCGATACGTAGCTGTGTGCAATCCCCTCCAGTACCCTCTTCTTATGAACCACAGGATTTGTTTGTTTATGGTAATAGGCTCCTGGGTTGGTGGCTCCTTGGATGGATTTATTTTGACTCCTGTTACCATGAGTTTTCCTTATTGTGGATCCCGAGAAATCAATCATTTTTTCTGTGAGATCCCAGCTGTACTGAAGTTGTCATGTATTGACACATCGCTCTATGAGACTCTCATGTATTCTTGCTGTGTGGTGATGCTGCTCATCCCTATATCCATCATCTCTGTCTCTTACACACGGATTCTAATTACCATCCATCAGATGAATTCTGTTGATGGCCGGCGCAAAGCCTTTGCTACCTGTTCCTCCCATATTACGGTGGCAAGCATTTTATATGGGGCAGCATTCTACACCAACGTGATACCCTCTTCCTACCACACACCAGCAAAAGACAAGGTTGTGTCTGCCTTCTACACCATCCTTACTCCCATGCTCAACCCACTCATCTACAGTCTGAGGAATAAAGATGTGGCTTCAGCTCTAAGGAAAGTGTTGGAGAGATGCACTTCTTCCCAGAGAATCAGGTTGGGAAATGTATCTAGGAAATACTAGGAGTCCAGGTACAAACATCTCTGTTGCTGTTGTCCGTTACACTTATTATTTCAAGAATATGGTATGGGTTCTGAAGAATGTTCCATGTCATTTCAACAATCCTGAGATATCTAATGCAAAGACTTACTGTTGCAAATGTAATTTAAAAATAATATCTGAAGACTGAAAGTGTTTAAGTATAAACCAGTATATAGTTTGAATGTACAGTCAAATATTCCTACTCAGTTAACACTATTTCTAAATCATCCCAGTCATGGCAAGCATCCCTTTTATGAGACCTAAATAGATATTTTTATATATTATATGTGTTCATGGGCTTATTTTGTCTGTACTGCTGACAAATTTTTGAATGGAAAATTGCAAGGCTCTTGTACCATGCACTTAATGATCTAATTTCAAACATTATGTATCATTACAACACATTCTAATGATAACATCATAACTATTTTATTTAAGAAGTGCTTATGAACATGGTTGAATTATATTTTGTGTTCTTTATTCTTAGTCAACATTCAGAACATCTGCATTCTTTTACCACTTCCACTAATTTGTGCATAGCTACTATGACTTTATATGACATTGACTTTCATTTGTCCCTTACAATCAGTTTGATGATTGATCGAAAACTGGATTCTGCCATTAAGCTTATAACATCACTGCAATTCTACAATGTCTTCCGTGTATACTTTAAGGAAGATATAATCCATAAACACAGAAAGAATAAAGCAAGATACTTTCATTTACAAACTTAGCTAACTTAAGTTAAGTTGCTCAATTTTTGTATTGTCAACTTCATCTGATATCTAGATAGACAAAGAATACCCTTTTAAACTATTTGGGATGATGTGTGGTGTTTTAGTAGTAATTTAGAACCTTTATGCAAATCCTTAAAATATTAACTTAAACAAAGACAAGATTGAGCCTCCATCATACATTTACTGAATGCTATCTATATGTGAAGAGTTCTGAAATGTTATAAATAAAAGAAAAGTTTGGACCTTTTTTATGTGTTTTTTCCATCAATAGAAGGCTTAGAAAAGACAAATTTTGGACAATTTAAATAATTTCATATTTGACAAAGATTAAGGATGTTTTATAAAGTCTTATTTGACTGTTAACTAGAAGGCTGGTGATTCAAACCCACCAGCAACTCCTCAGAAGTAAGGTTGGGTGATCTACTTCTGTAGTGATACCACCTTGGAAACCCAAGGAGGGGTCACTATGAGAATGATCCGACTTGACAGCAGTGAGTTTGAGTTATGTTGTATTATGTTGTGTTAAGTTAAAATTATTGTATTTAGTCTAATGTAAGTTCAGAGGGGAAATTATTTCCTTCATTAATGTTGATTCTGGTAATATATATATTATGATATAAAACAAAAGTCATTATTAAGATAGTAAAGGGAATATGTGTGTGTGTGTGCGTGTGTATGTATTCCCTTTACTATCTTAATCATGAGTTTTATTTTACATCATAAGAGTCCTAAAATCTTGATCTCTATTCTTAAAGAAGCCACAAAAATATAATTAAGAAGGAGATGGGAGAATGGCCTAGAAAATTGAATGTCTTCAATTGGAGGAAGAGAGTAGGGTTGAATTATAAAATATATTCAAGGTGACTTTGGTTCAGTTCCCCTGACTTTTCCATTTCCTTTGAGACACTGTGTTTTTACTCATGCTTTCTTCATTTTTCCACCCCACCCTACTATAGGACCCCTATTCCTGGTCATTCCTTCGACAAAAATTTCTTCATCCTTCTCATTTTTTCTCTGCTGTGAGCACTTTTTCTTTTTTCTTTTTTAATTATTTATTATTTCCCTTCATGGGACCAGGTATCTATATATGAATATTTAACAGCTCTCTCTTTAGAACCTCTGGTGGTTCAGTTGCTAAAGCATTTGACTATTAAACAAAACATCAGTGATTCTAATACAAAAGCTACTTTGCAATAGAAATATGAAGCACTCTGAGTTACTAAAGGTTTACAGATTTAAAAACTGTATGGGGCACTTTTACAGTGACCTATAAGGTCACTAAGGATCAGAATTGACTCGATGGCAGAGAGCTTTTGGAAAGTCTCTCTTTCCTATATCAACAAAATAAATCATTTATACATTTAACTCAGATATAGAATACAAAATTTGACATGTAATTCAAAATTAACAAAACAATAACAATAAGGAAGATACCTTTAGAGTAGGTCCCAGTGATATATAGTAGTTAGTAATTAGAATGGGAAAGAGGAGATGTTGGGGATATTGTTAGTCTATTCCTCTGCATCAGCAGTGTTACATGGGTATGCTCACTATATGATGACTTATCAATATGCCACTAAAGACATGTGCACTTTTGTGTATGTAACATAATTTATATAATTAAAAAGAAAATTTTAGGGAGGAGGATCCAAATTTGAAAATATACAATCCAGACACTCTGTAACATTGATTCAAGAAACCAAATGAAACAGACACTGATGACAAACTGGGAACCCAGAGCTGCAAATAAAAGGTTAAAAAAAAAAGAGTAGATCAAATACTGATTAGAAGAAGAGGATGGATGAAAACAGTGAACAATGAGGCATGGATTGGAAGTTGTCAACAAGCACAGCACAGCCATTTTGAATCATTACAAGCAGTGTTCTGATTGGAGTAAGGGCCAGATAACCAGATGTGCTTACCCAGGACTGCATCAGCACCCACATCCATGATCAGCATCCAGAGAATCAGAAGCTGCCAGAGACCCTACTGAGCTTTACTCTGCACAACTACTGCCACACCTACAGGGTGCATGTTACCACCTTCTCCAGCACCACTGAAAGGATGACAAATGTTAGTCAATATCTGTCCAGCCTGCCCTCTGCTTCTCTCCATAATTATGTAAAGAAGACTCATGCTCACACTCTATCTACTACCGAAGCCACCCAAAGACAGGTGGTGAGTGCCCCAGTGCCACCAAACTAGTAACCAGAATAGTAAGACTGTCTTGTTGCAAAGATATATTGAGACAAAGCAATACAAAAATTCAGCATGAAACAAACAAATACGCGATCAACAAATAAATACAATAACACCACAGAGTCTCAGAGACAACTTCAAATAACACACACACATGCACCATACAACAACAACAACAAAAGTAGAAGATATCTCAAGCAAGTGAACAAAAGAGAGGACAAATTTCCAGTGAACAAAATGTTATTGGAACTATTCAATAAGGCATTCAATGGAATTATATTCTGGTGCCTTCAATAGATTAATGAAAAAGATTAAGGAAACCACAGATAAATCAAAGAAAACACAGACAAAAATAGCAAATAGAAGAGCAGATAATGAATACTAAAATTTTAAACATAGATACTGATTGGAAGGGCAAAGAAGTGGAACCAAATCAACAAAAAACAGAATTAGAAAAATTGAAGATAAGTCTTTTAATACTAATTTGTTAGAGGAACAATGGAAAAGAGAACAAAATAATAGGAAGAAAGCTAAAAATGATGTAGAACACCATCAGGAAGAATAAATTATGGGGATTTGACATTCAAACAGGAAGACACAAAATATGCACTGAGAAAAATGTCAAAAATTTGTTGTTATAAAACTATCCTAATATCATGAAAGATGAGAAGATTTTCATTCAAGAAACTCAATGAACTCTAAAACAGATAGACCTGCCCCCCCAAAAAAAATCACCAAAATGTATTATAATCAAACTTTACAAAACCAAACACAAAGAAGGCATTCTGAAAGCAGCTCAGGATAAATAAGAAGTTCCCTCAAAGGAGAATCAACAACATCAAGCTCTTATTGCTCAGCATAAGCCATGTAGGCATGAAGAAAATAGGATGACATATATAAAACCTTGAAAGAAAAATTTGCCAACCAATAATTATATATAGCAAAAATGTACCTCTAATGCAATGAGCAAATTAGGAAATTTCCAGATAAAGAGAAATAAAAGGAATTTATAAATCCAGATCAACTTTACATGAGACATTTAAAGGGGTCTGTCTGACAGAGAATCAACAACAGCAGACAATAATCTGAGGTTAAGATGCATGTCAGCATCACCTGAAAATCTACTCGGATATAGAAATACCAAAAATAAAATAAACCTACAATACTGAAAATAGGGAACCAGAGATGTCAATTTATAAACAACTACAAAGCAAACAGAGGGGTTATAAGGTGTAGTTATAGCACATTTAAATATAGAGTAATTCTAGACCATATCAAAATAGAACTGTCTGTCTTAAACTTGGGAGGATAATAATAAATAACACGGTAAACTCCCAAAATGAAAAAATAATAATAATAATAAAGACAATAAACACTAAAACAACAGATGAGAAGGAAATGATAAGAAAAGTTTTAAACAAAAGTAACTCAGTAAAGAAAAAATATATGGAAAAAAGAAACCATTAACACCAAACACGCACACACCACAAAAAAACTTGAAAGTAGAAAACCCATAGCTATCAAATATTACACTGAATGTATGCACATTAAATGTGCCAGTCAAGTGATAGAGAATAGTAGAATGAATAAGAAAACAATCACTCATCAATATATTGTTTACAAGAG